GACTTCCAAGAGTCCAGGCTTTCAACGTTAAAGAGACAGCCAGGTGATGCTGGGCAAAAGAAAGCTCGCATGCGACTACTCCCACATCTCTTTGGCAAAAGACCTGCCCACTTAACCATGCGGGGATGTCTGACATTGAGGAATCCCACTAGGTACTGCAACGTTCAGGGTTTTCCCAGCAGAGAGGAAGGATATTTTTGAAGGATCAAACACCTTTGAAAGTGCCATCCATTTCAGCAGCAACAAAAAAAAAACTCAGAAAACGAAAAAGTGTAAAGTGAAAGATACTGGAGGGGTCCAACTGGCTTTTGTTTTTTTTTGGTTGAAAACTTTTTGTTTTATTTTTTTCAGTTTGAATTTGATGGGGTTGCTTTCTCGTCTTGGCCCTGGGAGACAGGGGGAGGCGGCTTGACATCGGCGGGGGCCCAGGACCCCGGCCCACTGGAGGACGATGGTCGCTTGCCGCTGCCAGCCTCGAAATCTTCCTCGTTGTCCATGCCACTGTTGGAGTCAAATTGCTGGTTCTCCAGGCGCGTGATCAGGCGCTCATCCTCGTCGCCAAACTCTCCGCCCATCAGCGAGGGCTCCCCGACAACCATCACGTCCTGGGTCAAAGGGAGGAACAGACAAGCATTGCAAACAAATTTTATCACCTCCATGATGCACTGTTGGCTTGTCGAGCGACTAATGCCTCTCAGTAGGCCAATGTTTTAATTCCGTTAATTGTGAGGGGTCTGGCGTGAGTAAAAAAGGACAACGGATGGATTTCATCTTGGTTGGAGGAAATTAACAGGAAAGTTGACGATTAGAAAACAATTTGCAGTAGATAGAAATAAACCACGACCCCCAAGAGGCAATCACAAGAACACTGAACATTGTTGCATTTAGCACAGTCAAGGTCAAGCGGCCACAAAAAAAATGTAAATAAAATTGCACAACTTAAATTTACTGAAAAGAACTTCTGTATGTATGTGCATACAAGTACGCTTCCAAAACAGGCTAACAAAATAAGGTATCACTTGATATGCAGTGCGATTCCCATTACTTGCAACAGCATTCAAATTGACATTGACAAACAAGTTCAACCAATCCAATTAAGTTGAACCATGAATGATTCATCACACATTAGCAAATTGGAACATGGACAGATAAAGAGAGGAGGTGGGCAGGAGGGGGAGGTGAGCGATTCATGAATTAATGAGAGCGTCGAGCCAGCCAAATCAATAACACAGAGCAGTTGTCAAAATGTGATCGTACGCAGACCATCACAAACACAAAAGCCATCACCGCCACCGCATTATCACTGTATTATTCACACAGGAGAGAGCAAAACTAAACACTGCAAAGTATAGCAAGACACTCGAGAAAAACAGGTGGGAAGGAGATATACAAAAAGAAAAAGGACGACAGACAGAGCCTGGCAAAGAAATTGGAAAGCAAGCCCCAGAAAGTAAGCAGATTAAGAACTGTTGATGAGATCAAAAGACAAAGCAGCATGTACATGTACCATATTTTTCTAAGTGGAAAAAAAACAAATCAGGACCAGTGTTCAAGCAATAATGTGACACTGTAGGTGATGTATTTTGTGGTTCCCAGAAGTCTGCTAGACACATTTGTGTGTGCGCTTCACAGTTCAATGAATCTAAACCGCACACACATAAAAGACACGCTGTATGCTTGGTAACTCTGTTTTTGGTTAACACGTGGACAATTAATTTGGGGGGGGGTTTCTCACATGTGCAAAATACATGTAATTGCAACTTCACAGGCACAAATTGGAATTTATTTTAAGTCTCCGAACTGGAAGGTATCTACTCAAATTCTTTGCAATGGACGAAACTGTATATCTGCATTAGTTTTCATGCACACAAAGCACCCCTCTCTAATCACTAATATAGAGGATTCGTTTCTCAGTGGCAGGAAATTAATCACTTCCCAATTCTCCTGAAATTCTCAGGTTACAGGGGTTTTTTTTTAGGGGGTGACAGCACAAGCGAGGCATGTTGGGTACCAGACAAAATGACAAGCCAGTGGACCAGACAACACCAGCCCTAAAGGAGCGTTCTACCACCATACCACCACAGCATGACACGGCACAGCAATCAGCACAGTACGATGCTGTGCGAGATACTCATGTATCCATCAATACTAAATTTCTCTTTGAAAAGCAGCAGAGAACACTGCTTCAGTCTTGCACGGAGGAATTTCAAGAGAGAGCTGAGCTCACAGTAAATTTGAATAATGTGTGCCTCAACATCCCAATATACAGATACCACTGCGTAGAAAACAGTCTTTGCTTTTAAAAAAAGATCTGGTGCTTGTACTTGAACTGCTTGTCTCTACCAAATACTAATCAAAATTACTAAATAGAATTCTCACTTTTCTAAAATGTTCTCATTTTTCGGCATTACAACTTCCTAGAAATATACCAGACTGCCACGTTTGACAAGGCAAAGCCACAAGTCTCCAACAAGGCCCAAGCAAGTGTAAAGGAAGTCAAATTTAAGAAAAATAAAAATCCAAATAGGGAGCAATTCAAAGCCTAGCATTCCGTTACCGAAAACCCGGCACCCCCTCGAGGGGGAAAAAAAAAAAAACTCAATCGTGTGGGGGGAAAAGGAGCCAGTGCTCAGGTGAAGTTGAGTAGTGAGTTGTGATTGAGCAGCCAAAGGGCAACTTTGTAGAGAGCCCTGGGCCCACTCAATTATCCCCTTCGGTCCACCTCACAGAGGAGAATATTTTACCTGTCAATGGTCATGCAGGAATAGGATAAAACAAGTAATTTTGAGGTCTTCAAATGGATGTGATTTAAGACATGAGAAAAAGTCCACTACACAATGTATTCTCTCATTTAATTTGAATGTTTTAATAAAGGTAAAGGGATTTTTAACTGGAAATTTTTTCCCTTGAATTCTGTTAAATGTGGTGGCTGAAAAAAGACAGTTCCTTTAAAGACAGATAGGGCAGTGTCAACGCCTTTTCTTCTTTGTTCGAGTGAAGGTCACTGCTACCTTGACCAATGATATATCTATTTTCTTTTCTCTGTATAACCTAGGACAGAAGAATGGACCAGACCAACACACATGGGCGCATCTGGGTGGATAGACCAGGCACGGCGGACCCAAAAGAGCAAAAAGTAACGGGGGAAAAAAAAAAAACCGACTTGTTCCTTCCGAGGAGCTGTTCCTGTACACTGCATGCAAGGCAGCTACACATCGGCATCATGCTAGAGGTTAGTAGGTGGAGGGTAAAAGCAAGGCATTACAATTGGCTGTTTAATCATGTCAGAGAGTTAGTCAGCTTCAGACGTACCGGTGCCTGCCTCCCTCCCCCCCAAGTTTCACTGGTACCCTCGTTCAAAGATCTAAAAATGGTTTTTTGGCTTGGCTCCGCATAATCCCTCATCCGAGCAAAGGTGCTTGTTCTGGTTCAAAAATGTTACTTCCTTGATCCCTGCTACAAGGAAGAAACTTTTACATGTACCTGCCATACTGAGGCTTAGCGTATCTATGCTCTTCGCCCTATTTCTGCGAACGAGTCCATGTTAACAATCAATGTTAGTTCAATATCAAGCTTACGTTATTATTAGGCTCATGTTTACATTTCCTTTAGTTTGTCAAGATGCTAGAATTGAACAAAACAGAATCCAACTGCCAGACAGTATGGGACTCAAACTAATACACTGTGCTTTTTTCAGTGGAATTTCGGTGACTCCTTTTTCCACGATTTATTTTCTTAACAGAGCAGTGCTATTCTGGGTCAACACAACCTCGGGTTGATTTGACTCTGTCATCTTCTGAAACCTAGAAGATGCCAAGATTCCTGCCAAACCCAATCCATTTATTCAACCCCCTTGACAGCATCGACCTCCGACGCATGTGACGGTTTGCAGGTTTATCCAATGGCTTTCTGGCAAAAGCCAGTAAAAATTTCAACTCCAGCACGTCCAGTTTCTACAGTTTTGAACGGATGTCTTCTTGTACTGGGGAAATCCCCAGAGTAGGGTGAGAGATGTGTGACTCCGACAGGTCAGTCAGTATACGTTTCACCTTTCTTGTAGTATTTCCTTGGCAAGTCTGCCCGTTGTGTTGACGCTCTGTTGGTGATTATGTGTTTGAACGCTGATGGCCAAAATCATTGCAAATGCACCCGGAGAAAAAAAAATAAAATCACAGTAAAAAATGGGGGTCCCATACTGTCTATCTGGTCAATTCATGCATGGTTTGTTGGGCTGCTGCCGAACTTCAAAGCACAACACCAATACCATGCAGACATGCAAGCGATCATGCATGCATAAGAAAATAAAATGCCATCACAAATCATCCATAGTTAAAAGTTAAAAACAGAAAAAAATAGCAACAACAATGAAAAAGACAACCAAAATCTGGAGGAACAAGTCGTTTTTTTTTTCTCTTCCGGTAACTTTTTCAAAATTGTTTGCTGGCCGTCAGGCTCTGGGACAGAACGAGGCAAAGAGAGAGAGAGACAGAGAGAGAGAGAGGTGGTGAGATTGGCTACCTCCGAGACGGACTCATGAATCCAAGGTGGCATGGGAACGGGCTGAGGTGAAGTCGGACGATTACGTTTGCTCTTGTGTCGGCCCGCCGGCCCGTTACGCTACAGGAGGGAAACAAAGAAAGCATTCGAAGGAAAAGAAGGAGGAACGGGGGGGGGAGGAGGAAAAAACAAACAAAAAGAGAGAGCCCTGAGATGGTTTGTCGCCGTCGGTGATGGAGGGGGAAGTCAGGGATGAAAGTGAGAAATTTACTTCCTACGGAGAGTCCCAGGAAGCTAAATTTCTTAGCGGTCGGGGTAAACAACATGTCTAACTTCTTGTGCTCTGTTTGTACTGGGTATGTATCTCCCTGTCAACAATGCAAGTCCACTTTTAAAGAATGAACAGTTTTTTCCTCGAAAAACAGAAATATCACGGCAAATTACCAATGAAGATCAATGCCAGAAATAGCTGGTTTTGAGCTATGGAATTGTGGGTCTAAGGAGCATTCGCTTCAAATGTCTTCACAAAATGAGGCATCTGTATCTCTGGAGTGCAAGAGAAGAAAGTTTGAAAGTGCCTGGCTAGAAATTTTCTTCTAACTTTTTTTCTTCCAGAACTTGAATATTCATACATCAGTTTTTTAAAACTGACGAAAAAGTGTCATCTCTAGGATGGTGGATGGAGCATGCAAAAAAATGAATGAATGAATCGAGGACTTGGTGTAAACACGGGGAAAAATTCCTCTTTCAAACACAGACGAGAGTGTTGACATTCAAACGACAAACGAGAGACAACTGCATATCTCCAGAACTTTTCCACATCCACAGCTGTGACATTGTGGATGTTCTTGTTGAAAGGACCTTGCTTTGAGGCAAAGGCTCGGCCTCCAAATTTGCAATGAAACGCCTTAGTCCTATTGACACAAGCCCATTTGGGAAAATAAACAAAAACAGTTCGACAAATAAAATATGATTTTACCAGGGGCAAGATCGGGATAATCAGTGGTTAGATCAAGCTAGTCGGACATGCTTGTTAGTCCATGCAGAGGCTAGGCGGTGTGGGTTACCAGTGGTTTTTACTAATCAGTGCATTCCTCACACTGAAGCATGCTTGAGTACATGTAACTTCAATGCAATCACTGCTGTATCCGGGGTGTAGGGGACCAGTGAACTACCATAGGTATGTTGCCTATAGATGTGGATAGAGGACCAATATTCCTACAATGTATTCCTCGTATCAAATGGTAGGTACGTTATGTCACCGGTGATGACTATTCTAACACCCAGAAGCTCACAAGAGGGGAAATGGAGCAGGATTCAAAAAGGTCTCCCAAGGGATATTAAGGCTGATCGAAAAGTACATCTGGACAATTTGTTTTTCAAATGAAATCTGGGCCACGAGCAAAATGATTTTTTAAAAAGTAGGGTGCACGAATAATATCTTGGAAAAAAGTTACAGTTGTACTGTACATGTACATTTTTCAGAGGCGTGTATCTTGAGCGTCCGTGGAGGGGTTTGGTGATGGACAGGATTCCTGATGTACATGTACGGGTATGGTGTGTCTATTTCAATGACACCGTTCACTAGTTGAAAGGGAACCAGACCAAGATTATGCGGCCAGTGCTGCCACAAGATGGCAGAACACGAGTAACATATTTCCCAGGCATGTGTTACAAAACCTACAACTGAACATGCCGTGGCCAAACAAATGCAACATGATAAACTGAAGATACTTGTATTCAAAATGTACCCATGGGTGCACTTTTTCCAATGATCAAAGTCTACAATGCTGGAAAATAACGCAGAAAGAAAACCTCGTTTTTAAATCAACATTTTGAATACTTCATACGTTTGTTTCAGATGGAGTGGGGAGGGTGGTGGAGTGGTGGTGGGGGAGGGTGTGTGGAGCCACCGGGGGAGGGGGCAGGTTGGGTACTTACCGTGGGCACACCTTCCGGCGTTGTGGACATGCTGTAACTGCCAGGAGAGGATTTCTTCTTGGACCCGCCCGACATGTTGTTGGGCATGCTGCCGCCCCCTGCAGGCAAGCTGGTGGAAGATTTACGCTTCCGACGCTTCGGTTGTGTTCTGTTCGTTTCGGCTAGAAATGAAGGTAGAAACAAACTCTCGGTCAAGTGCCAAACGTGATCCATTCCGTGTCACAATTCTTTTTATGTTCTTCATTGGTAAGTGAACTGTCGACGGAATCTACTGGTGTGTGGGTATAAAAAATCAGTCAATCAATGTACTTGCAGAACTCTAAATGCCCCCAACTCCCCGGGAAATTTTTGGAAGAGGCATCTCACATTTAAAAAAAACCAAATCTGGCCAATGACAGGACGGCACTATTTTGATTAAGAGAAGTGAAAGGAGAAATTCAAGCTCCCCGTAAAATGATCAGCATTGCTTAACATTCCATTAAAATTACTAGTATGCCCAACCCAACAAACCTCATCTGGAACTTGTCCATGTTTAGAAAGATCTGGTGAGGAATGCAATAGTTTTTGCCAATGCCATTTTATCCGAGTGTCTACCTTATGTACGTACCGGGAGGTGCAACCATTCGCTGCCATTTCTGGAAGAGGGTCGCTTTCAGACAGTCCCTGGGATTGAGGTTGTAGGCCTTGTGACGCGACATCAGCTCCTGCATGGGCTCCAGGATCACACACAGCTGAAGGCACAGACAAACCAACCAACCCAACAAACCTGAACATCAGACTCAGCAGATATAAGCAGCAAATTTGAAAACGTGCACAGACAGGATTGGCCTTGAACAAATTTCCTTTTTTTTTTTCTTTCAAAATTCACACACGGAGGGAAAAGGTGTCAGCAACAGACCGATGAAAAAGAAATACCTGACAAAAGAACGGATCAATTTATATCTTGCTTAAATTTGTGCAGCAAGTTTGAAAATCCATATTCATCCGGTGTTCAAAACTGGAAAGGTCTATGTACCGGTAACTTCTCTCTGATGGAATGGGGATGGGGGTCAGGATCTTGACAGATGTGGTAGGGGGAGAAGGGAAAGGGGGTTAACAACAGACTTACCCTGAGATAGTTGAGGGTGACGTTCGTCAGCCCTTGTCTGGTGATGTTCTTGGACAGTTGTTCCATCATGCCAGGGTCCTGAGAATGGTACTGCCGTCAAAGGAGCACAGAATGGAACCGGGCCACAAACGGGGATTGAATCAAAGAAAGAAACACGGAACCTTAGCTAACTTGTCAAAGGTAGTGCCAGTTTGGAGGCTGGGAGGGATAATGTTTACCTCTATTTGTTCAGCGCCGTTTTCCAATCTCAAAACGGATGTTCAAATATGTCCTGCATTGGAACAGGTACAGCACAGAGCTGACACCCTAATATGCAGTTTCAACAAATTCCAATTGTCAGAGGTAGTAAAATGCATTCTAGCAGGCACACCACTACCCACGGTTTGGACTGTGTGCCCAATTGCACAAGGGGGATCATTTCCCCGTTTGCAATTGACATTACCCAAGTACAGGCACTTGGCCCACCTTCAATCTCTTTTTAATCACGTTGAATGATTCAGGGAGGTCAGTCAATTAGCTTGATGCCCACCACTTAGGAAGATTGCAAGGAACTCCATCGATACTTGCATTCACTCTACAGGTCCACTGATGTTTGTTAACCTCCCCCCCCTGCTTTCTCTTTTTTCCCTGTTCACCTTAAACTCCAAGAACAGACGTTTTAATCCAATAAGTCAGAGAGAATCCAATTGTACCCATGTTAATACCCAATGTAAGGAATGAGGTTTTTTCATCACTGAGAAAGCTGGCATGATCTGACTGTATTGTACTTTGTGCCAAATTACATCACTCCCAACCAGGGGATTTTTTTTTTTTACGTATTTTAACAGAGTGCTTCAATGCAGGAATTGCTTTAATCACTTTAATGCAATGAATTTAACATGGTGAAAGATGCAAGTACATGTATACTGTTAAGAAAAAAAGCCTTGTGGGACATTGTCTAGATAATGCAAATCTACAGGGGGCCTGGGAACATTTAACAAACGACTTTTGAAAGGAAGCAAAGCCCCAGCTTGACAGGAGCTTCATGTTTGCAGCTTACTGCTTCTAAAATTCAACAATTTTCATCACTATTTTATAAAAAGAATCAATTTCCTCAAATTACTCAGATTTTTTCATATTAGGTTCTCATAGTCAGTTCAAACCTGTTCAAAAGATTCACAATGCCCAAACCTTTTCCAATTTTTCCTAACGACTGGAATCCAACAAATGCATCATGATCAATGGTTGTTTTGGTATTTTAAGCACCTTTACGGGAGACGTGCCCTCAAGGATTGTGATTCTCCATCAGAGAAAGAAACCAATGACTTTCTATGCACACAAGACCCAGTTGAGGAAGTTTGCATTTGGTTCCAGTCTTGACTCGGTACATCTTCAAGGTGGCACAACTTTTTCTGGCAATCCCTGCACTCTATTCACCCGCCATTTTCACCCCTCACGTACGGGGACAAGATCAATCAAATCTGAAGAGGTGCATTTGGGGGTGTTCTCGTCGATATCCCTGCGCTCCTGTGCACTGCAGTTTAATCCCCAAATAGAATTCCTCTGATTTGATTTCCCAGACTTGAGGGAAGCAGAGAAGTACATCAAATATCACTCCATTTGATTACCGCGGTAACGGAGAACGAAGAGGCATAAGAAAAATGAGAATAGAAGGAAAGAAAAAAGAAAGAAAAAAAAAAAAAAACGGCACCCACAGGAAAGCAAGCCCCATTGATTGTGCGAACTCATCTCACTAAAAGCTCACCAGTTTCCAGTAAGTGTTATACAGGGGGAAAAAAAAGTTCCTTTCTCTTCTCGATCATCGACTCCCCTTGTCTCCTCCCCCCCCCTTTCCCTATGTCTACATAATGTATGAAGGCCAGCTTGTTACTGGATTAGGCTCATCAAGGCAAAATGGACTGCAATCAAGAAATTGCCGCTGATATCTCCCCAAGTGGTGAATGCACACGCGTCAAGAGCTTCCAAAGTAAATGCCGAGTGCGGACGATCCTCGTTGAACAAAAAAAAAAAAAAAAAAAAACAACTAAAGATTTGTCATACTGAGGGTTCGGAGTCCCAGAACTTTGCACTTCATTGCTGAATATTATACATCACCATCTCTGTCCAAGTTGTAAGGTTACAATGAAGCATCTCTTCTGACCTACTGTCTACACTGCTCATTTGACAGACCATGTCAATTTCTGATAGGCAATTTGAGAGAAACCTATATGCAACTAATGGCAGTTCTTTTCCCAGGGGGGGAGAGTGCATTCACACGTTACTCTTTACTGATGCTTTCGTTTGTAAGCAAATATTGACCGAGTATTACCACAAAGTGTAACACTTATAAATTCAATCAAGGATTCAATAAGAAACACAATTTTCAAACTGAAAATGGATTCAAGAAAATGTCCAAATAGAACAGGGTGAGATACCTGCATCGCCACCACACTTCTGGGAATGAGCTCTCTGTGCTGGCGGATGAAAAAATGCCAAGAACGTATGCGCATCAGGTCATCAAATGTGAACTCAACAACCAATCGACCCTCCGTGCAAACCTGGCACCAAAACAAATAAATCAATAAATATTATTATAAAGATAGCAAGAAAAACAAGACGAATCAATTATTTATCTAAAACTGTGAACAACTTGGAAGGATCTTGGTTGTCCTGTAACTCAAGCACGTGCAAACATTTTTTATTTCAAACTTGGGCTTGCAAAAAAAAAAAAAAAACAACAGGAAATGTGCCTGTGCTGTGATAAGGCCAGTCTAACTCTGCCAAATTCTTCCAAGTTTGGATTCTGACAAGCTTTCCTGCTGATAAGTTCTTCAAATTAAAAAAGTACATTCCAGAGATATGTGCGTATATCCTTCAGACTCGCGTCTCTGTTTGAATTAATTCACTTAGAAAAGGAATTCCGACAACGAATCAGGCTTTAAAGAGGTTCAAATTGCCGGTAAAGTAATAACGTGGGCCTGTCTGCTAGCTCAAGTACAGTACACATGTACGGTAAACCTCACTCATACAGGGGTCTTTGAGATGGCAACACCCAATACAGACTAAACTAGAACAATGGCAATATACCCCAGAGGCAAATCCAGAATTTTATTCTGGGAAAAACGGCTCATCGTAGTTCCTCATTTGAAGGAAAAAAAAAAAAAGTAAAAAGTAAAAATCAGTGGTGCCAGCTCTTCAGCATAGCTCGAGTCTTTCTGAAAACTCACAGGGTACACACAAATCAATCATCTCCACTGTGGTTTCTTGAAATTCATGTGTGTGAGATCAAATGGTATGGGCAAACATTAATTCTCCTTTTTTTAGGGGGGGGGTTACATATGGGCCACAAGGGGAGATACCAGGATACTAGATCCCTTAATACAGAACCCCTCCCCTATAGTACCGGTACATGTACATTTAAGGTTAGTACTTGACGTTATCTCTTTGGCACATATTACCTCCCCCCAAAAAAAAATTCAGGAGGGAAGGGAAGATAGAGATGAACAAATTTGTAGATCAGGGATGCATTACCCCAGGGATGACTAACTGTTGATTTGTGACTACTTCGGCCTTTTTTCCGCAGCATGCTTTTAATTTAGGGAAAGAGTTTACTGTGTGGAAGACTTGAGAACCTAGTACCAAAAGTTCTTTCCCTTTTCTCTTGTAATTGCAGGTTGGGGCACTGTCAAAAGTCTTGGCCTTGAGTGGTTTTTGTCTGAAACATGAAATAAGTCGCTGAATGAAATTGAAAACAGTTGAATTCCAATGCCACACAGGATGGGTCGTTTTTTTTTTTTTTTTTGAGCGCGGTGAATAACATCCCGCGTCCGCAGCCCTTATCTCTCTCAACCGGCTGTACAAGGCAAGTCCTCCCCCCCCTCCAAATAACCAGGATGCACCTTGTGGAAACCGATAAATTGGCTGCTCGATGAGTCACCAGGTTATCAATTAAGTATCGTTAACCCCCCCCAAAAGAACACTCATTGAGCGTGCCTTTGTTTTAAGCCGTAAATTGGGCACATGTACCTTTCTGGTATTTTTTCGTTAATTTTGTCACCACACATTTAGGGACGACAACAATTCATGTAACGAGGACAACAATATAAAAGTCGCACTGCATGGTGGGGATTATAACAGAAAGTCTATTTTAAATTGGCAAGTAAAAGGATGTGCACAAGAAGATCATATTCACTCAACAAAAAGTCCTCGCTTATTTTTTGGGGGGGGAGGTTAATAGCTGATATCTGTGTACTACTTGAAAGCAAAACAGTGAAATGAAAATCACTGTTAAATGTCTAAGAACAGTTTCAGATAACCAGCAATGGAGGATTAGGCATATCTGAAATTGGAATATTCCCGGTTCTGCAATTTCTAGTCATGTCAGGCGCAGGCACGTCAAACTCACTGATGGATGAAAACGCAATTAAGCGTGCTCTCTAAATCCACAAAGTCGCCTTAAGCACCCATTCCCCTCCTCCTGCAAGACCTGTTAACTTTGCTCCTTACACACAGAGGGCTGTCGACTTCTTCTGGTGACCCTCCCACCCCACGGCCTTAACTCAACAGGACTCCAAGGGATTTAATGTGATTAATGCGAGTTCTTCCTTGCTTGTTCATATTTGCCTACTCTGGGAGATGAGCGCGTACTGCTTGCACAGGCCTGCCGGTGAAAATCTCCTGACAATTTATCCTTTTTTTTTACAGTTCTTGACCTTTTGGCACGTAAAAAACAAGCACTTTTCTCACCTCAGCCAAAAAATGAAACAAATTTCCATGCCGCTTTTTTTGAGTTGATGTAAAGTATCTTCAGAACATATGGTTTCACTTTTTAACACTGACAACCTCGCAAGATACACATCACATTGTCAAACCATTTTCCAAAGAAGTTCCTACTGACCTTTTTGAGCAAAGACACCGACACTGCAAGCTTCCAAAACTGATTCTGCACCCCAGCCATATAAAGTGACATTCCAATCAGGTCTTCGTACATACTGGCTTTTTTATGTGGCATGTCTTCTGCGCACGTACGCAACGGGCAGCCATACAGAGTACCGACATGACCGATTACGTGCTTTCAGGATCGACCAGGAACCTCTTTTCTCCTGATGTGCAGAGCATTACACAGATTTCCCACAGGATTATTTAGAGAAATTGAAGAAATATTAAGTTAAGCATGCATTACGCTGATTACGTCGGAAGGCATTTCAGCACCACAGCTATATTTTAATTTTTTTTTTCCTTTCCTTTTTTTTTGGTCACAAGAAGTGGGATAATAAACCACTCATCTTGACTGTCCAATCACTTTAAGTGACGGTCCTGAACTACCGTCTGAGGATTTGTCAAAAACAAAATGATAACTTCACTGGAATTACATTTTTTAAGAAATTTCTCCAGGAAGTCAAATGACAAAATTCAGGCTTGGAATGATTCAATGTCAGTGTTGTAGCCGAGTCCATCACAAGTCCCTGTGAGTCCATCACAAGACATTCAGTAACAAGCCAATTCCTTGAGTCGTTGTTCACCCCAGTCTTGTGAAAGGACTTGTGATGGACTCAAATGTCATACTGCATTGTATGCACGTGCATTGTACAGTACTGCTAGACATGTAGCTGGAAGAGTGCGAAGGGTTTCTGTGCGGAGAGGATGGCTAAAGCTCTGCTGAAAAGTTCCAATTGATGTTTGGATAATTCAATGACTACAGATTTATTTTCCATGTATCTACAACTACCTGTGCATCGGTGACTTATCCACGCAAAAAAATAGGCTTTTTCTTAACCGAAATGTGACTGCCACTCATTCTAGTTAATTCCAAGTACCCATGGAAACACGTTTTGGGCCCTTCGTTGCTTTTGTTTTGTTTGGGCTCTTTCTAGGCAAACCTTTCAAGAGGTCAAACAGGCCAGCACATGCGGGCAGCCCTATCTGACAATTTTTTGTCTCTTTTGGGAGAAAATATTAGTCCGTATTTTAATCTATTTTTTCCATGCGGATGCTTCTAAGAATTACATTACCGGCAACCTTTAAAAGTCCGCATATTTTCCTAAGCATTTACATTTCACTTTTACGCAGGCCCCAAAACACAATTTTAACAAACTGCAGGCTGTCCACATCGCAACAACTGACACTGAGGGTCATTGAAAACATCTGGGGAATTTCCTTACTCTGCACCTGTATAAAATGAAGGCAAAAGAGGTGCTCCGTTGGCTATGTTTTACAAGGTACGAGTACGTACATGTAACTCGGCATCGATCATGTGTTCTCACACATGTGGCTGAATCCAACAATACGAGTCTTCAATCCACTGGCTGAGAAGATTTGGGGTTTTTTAGCATCGGATGGAGAAAAATAATTACTCAATATGGCGTACTGATGAAAATGGGTCCTATGTAGGTGAAAATGTTGACCATACCCATATACCAACTCGCACGCAAGCTTCATTCCCATGTGACCTTGCCTTTTTAAAATACCCAACTGGCTTGCTGCAAGAAAAATCCTTTTCTGAGGGTGTTTCTGAGGAATTTTTATTAAAGCTGGAAAAACTTGTGAAGTTCAGCAACTCCGAGGAACAAAGTGAATACTAACGGTCAAGTACACTGTACATATATAAATTTCCAAGCACCAACATCGAAATTTTTGATTAAAAAAATTAGCCCCTGGGTAATCAATGCAAACCTAGGCAAAACTCTACATCCACTGGTTTTGGGGGTGGGGATTGAAGCCTTTGTGGGGATGTACCTTTGTGAACATGGGTTTGCCGTGGTGTGTCACCATGGTTGTCTGATCGCAGTCCAGCGTTATGGTGGTGTTATGGAACGACTCCTTAGGGTGCTTGAGGAGGTAATACAGATCGGTGACCCCGCCCTCAAACACCGTGCGGAAGTACCGCGGGATGAGGGTCCTACCAATGGCTGCAGTGGGAACCAAATTAAAAAAAAAAGAAGCCATACGGTACGGTCACCATGGGAACTGTCTGACAAGGCATTATTATCGGTTAAGACAAGCGTCTGCCAAAAATTGGCCAGAAGTGGAGTGAACTTACCATATTTCTTGGGACCATCTTCTAAACAGAACGAGAGAGTGAGACTGGCGTCATCTTCAAAAAACTCGGTCGCAAAAGCATCCCACCATAAATTGTCGCTTTCCTGCGGCCAGGCAAACCAAAGCAGTATAGGAAATCCATCAATACCTGGGATGGGGATTGGGTAAGTCCCGAAATTAGGAGTCCACTTTTTTTCGTGTCCCTGTCACATCTGACATATGATTTTTGTAAGTTTAGAACACATTTACTAATTTCCAAGAGAGCTGCATTAATGCCAATTACCTGCAAAACAAATAGTAATAGTTTGAAATCAATTCCAGTAATATTTCCACGTCAGATAACAAAGGTCAGATTAACGGACACAGAAAGTCACACTTTTGGACCCCTAATTTCTGGAATTACCCAGAAACAAGATGTTGGATTCAAGTGAGCTGTGCAATGAGTAAAAAGCGCTGAGCGCTGACTCACGTACAAAGTGATGCCTGCTTGGCGCATCAATGCTTGTGCACAAACCTATGGAAAACTCAAAATTTTGTACGGCTTTTGCATGGCTCTTTGCATATCTACAGTACATGTACATGTACATGTATGTCTGTATTCTAAAACAATACATCAACAAAGCCAATACACAAAAAACAAATTTGCAAAATCAGTAGACGAGCATTTTATTTTGCTCTGCACAAACAATGCAAACGTGCGCGCGTATGCGCTTCAGATTATTTTGCTGTGACTTTTTAAATCAGATTTTATTGGTACTTGATGCGCATTGCAGTCAGAGTACATAATTCGATAAGCATTCTCTCTGATTTTGAATGTTCTGCAAGCAAGTACATGGATTCAAAATGTCTGTGCCCAGGACGGCGTCGAATTTTGTCCGTACGGAAAATGAGAACTCAACATTCTAATAATTAAATACAGCTCTACCCATGGTTTGTATACTGTCACAGCAGATATGAGTTTGTCAGAACTCAGCTTGTAACTAAGCCTGCTCCGACAAGTTGAAAAAAAAAACAAATTCAGCGAGAACACAACCTTCTTTCAATTAGGTGTACCAATCTTGAGTTTTCCCGGACCATAACAAGTTAACTAAGGGGTTGGGGAGGATTTTAAAGGATTGAGGAGGGTAAAGCCCAGGGCCATGATGCCCCTTGAAAGTCCAAGTGCAAAGAATGTCAAACGAGTTTGGCACATACATTGTAAATTTTACCCAAAATATTCCTGACAGTTAGGAAAAAACCTTGAATATTGTAAATTCCTGACAATGCCGGATGGGTGATTTAACATCACCTAAATTACCCTTAGGCAAAGTTGTGAAATGAAAATATATCTTTGATTACAGATACCAAGGGGGAATTCTTTATGTTGGTTTTTTTTCTTGTCTACACCAATCACAAAAATCTCACATTTCACTACATGAACAGATCAAATTTACAGATCAGATTTTGTAATCATTGTTTTACAACCCTAACCCCCATGGGTGTATGTAGCATCCTATTGAAATTAGAGGATTTGGGACTGTTAATGTTAACCCTAATGCCCTAGGGTGTATGTAGAATCGTACTGAAATCAGAGGATTTGGGACTGTTAGGGTTAACCCTAACGCCCTAGGGTGTATGCAGAATGTATTGAAATTAGAGGATTTGGGACTGTTAGGGTTAAACCTAACCCCCATGGGTGTATGTAGAATCCTATTGAAATTAGAGGATTTGGGACTGTTAGGGTTAACCCTAACCCCCATGGGTGTATGTAGAATCCTATTGAAATTAGAGGATTTGGGACTGTTAGGGTTAACCCTAACCCCCATGGGTGTATGTAGAATCCTATTGAAATTAGAGGATTTGGGACTGTTAGGGCTATCACCTTTGCTAGAAGGATGTGATGTACATCATCAAATCCCAACCCATCCCCCCCCACAAAAATGTTCGGTCCTTTGGGGAGGGGATGGTATCTTATGAAATCATTCTGTACATGTACATGTATACTTCAGCCATTCTGGCCTACCTGCAACTCTCAACCAGTGTCATCTGTGGGAAAGAGTTGCCCGTGCTACAGGGTACCCACATATTGTGATCTAGTGTTATGCTACATGTCACTTGACCTTTTACCAGAATTTCAGGCAGTTTTGAATCGAATAGGCACGATTTCTATCTACATGTATAAATGCACATGTGTGTACATGTACATAAATTTATAGGTACAATATACGCGTATACACACACGTACATTCTGAAAGAACACAGGCTCTCTCACTGGAAAATGTAAAAGGGACGTGTCGAACAAAACTAAATTCTATGCATGAGGATAACAAAAATTTTTAAATGAAGAGACCCCTGAAACCTACATGTAAATAGACCGTATTGTGTGCCCGCAAGTACTTTATGCAAACACACTGTGCGTTTGGCCACATCTCAGGTCTAGAATCATCTTCAGACGGTCTCATGCATTTGTGAAATGACGCCGGGCCGGCTGAATCTAGAACCAGACTGCATCTGTGTCAAGGACCCTTGAGTTAATTCGTGCATTGAGCTGGACGAGGAAGGAGGGAGGGAGGAGGGGTTCCATACCAGGTGTTGTATAACGGCTCGTAATCAAACAGGTGGCTGATCGTATTGCACATGTGCAAATACAACGGCTCTGTAATGTCATCTGCATGCATTGAAGCTGCCCCTCCATGAAACCTGCTGACTTTTCTCACTGTACATGCACATCTAGTAGGCCTACCGGTACATGTATGGTCTTTATGTACTGCACTGTGGTACATGTAACCTACTCCAGCGAGCTTCAGTAAACTTTGACCAAAATCATAGGTCACAGGTCATGTGTAAGTTTGTAAACAAAGTGTACATAACACTGCATGTATGTGACAAACTGAACATGCCAGTACATATATATATACAGTACATGTACATGAACTTTCACAGATACGGTACGCATTGGGACACTCACAGATAAAATTTAATACACGTAGGAAACTGCACATTTAATTAACATTCCCCTTACCATACAGGGCTAGCAGGAAGGAAAAGGTTATGTTCCATGCATTTTGAGAAAAAAAGTTTGTAGCAAGATTGTACATTATTTACATGTACATGTAGGTACATGTACATGTACAGTGGTGTGAAAACTTATTTGAACACTTGATATATAATAGGTGCTTTTGTTGTTTGTGATGTAATGTCAATCAATGTAAATGTACATGTACCCATCAAATGTTTTGCACGTGTGCAAAATTATTTGAACACTTGGCACATGGAGACCTGAATGAAGTTCTTTGTAGTCAAACTAAGCCATTTGACCAATGTTTTTAAATCTGTGGACATTTTCGATTTTATCCAAATAACCCTAGTTACCAGCTATCCGTTAATCTCTCACAATTATTCGGTAGTTCTTTTGGAATGGATAGTACACAACGTTTCAGACAGTATGCTCTGTCCGTCGTCAGGAGACTGGCAAGGTTTGACAAGCTTTGGTGGTCATCAGCGGCAACCTTTTGTCAAGAGAGTAGGCATGAAATTTTAAATACATTATGAAAATCCCCTATTTAGGGGAATGGGTACATAAAGCAAACGAAACTAGCCTAGAGCACAGATCACCACAGCTTGAACATGGTAAGAGCAAAGAAGGAACTTACATCCGAGCAAAGGGCAAAAATGAAGACCCTCTCTGGTGCTGGATGGAGCTACCAATCAATAACCAGGGACATAAAATGCAGCCCAAGCTTTGCAAAACACACTTTGGACAGGTTTAAGGTGACCGATTCATGCCCCAAAAAAATGCTACGGAGGAAGAAGGAAGAAGAAACTTTTGGAGAGACATGTGAATCACTTATAATTAAGTCTTGGAGACCTGAGAAAACAACTAAAGAGAATTTCGAGATGACATCAACACCATGCTGACTCATGGTGTTACAGTTTCTTCATCAACTGTGCGTTGGACGTTGATAGAAACAGGACTTGTAAACAGAGTAGCATCTAACAAGCCATTGTTGAGGAAGAACATTCAGAACGATAGAGTGAAGCATCTGAATTTGGTAAAGAAACACAAGCATTGGACAAAGGAGGATGGGTATCACATGACTCTGCTTACATGTAAGTTGGAACAGTTGGGAACCAAACGGTGAGTGTAAGTACGCAGACAGGTGAAAGGTACAGGTACATGTACAAGACTGAACACCTGTTACCAACTGTAAAGCATGGTGGGGGAAGAACATGTATGCTATTAATGTGAGCGATGCTCACAATTTCGTTTTATTATTCAATACAAGTGACAAATGTAAACCAGGCAGTGTAAGGGATTGGATATCAATTTCTTCAGGAGTGTTAAGTGTTGAAATACTTTTCCACGTGTGTAAACACTACATGTATGTAATGTTGAAAATAAAAACATTTCATGGATAAAGACTGTTTTGATTGCCATTTCATCACAGGGAAGTCAAGTAGGCCTACATGTACATGTACCAACAAAATATGTCACGTCCACATAATTTTGCACACGGCTGTACGGGTGTGTACTGGTACTTTTAAAAATGTGAGAAGTGCCAATGTTTTCTTTGAAATTCATGTCCAGATACTTGTAGGAATAGTCGGAGCCTTCACACACTAGTACATGTATCCGGTGACATAATGTAAAACCTTCAGTGTAATTCTACAGTTTGTACAAACTGAGTGTACATGTTCATGAACATGTGTATGCACTGCATGGCACATGTTACCAAACCAAGTGTATACATGTACATGTGTAACGGTACTTTTTTTCAGCACTCTACTCTACACATGTATATGTATGTATACTAACATGCATGTGTATTGAACATCAGAAACCAAAATTCGTTTCATCCCAGTTTGACTCAACATTCCGAATTCAGTCTACATGTACCGGTAGTCCATAGGTCAAATAATGGCCGCTGAGAGGTCACTCTCTTTCTCTGCCCCTAGATTGTGGAATGACCTCCTATCAACCCTAAGGGAGCCCGCAGACATTCAAGCTTCTCCTCCAAACATGCCCAGCTTGGTTGATCTCTTTGGTTTGGTTCCCTCATTTTTTTTTTAATCTGGTAAATTTTTGCTGTTACTTTTGTGCTATTAGTAGCATTTTCTTGGAATTTATCTGTGTCAAATGCAATGATTAGTACAGTGGGTTAATCTGTGCGAAGGGATTTTCCTGATTAATAAGTTCACATACTGTACTAGGTTTACGGGAACAGATGTGGATATTATGGGGGCCAACAACTTTATGGGGACAAATGTTTGTCCCCACAAGGCAGCTTTGACTTTCCTGACGAAAGAAACTGTCTCCTACAATGCCAGGAACAAGGGAAGGCCAACCCTGTACTGACCTGTAAAACGGCTCATATTAGTCCATACATACTGTACATGTACATGTACATACATGTGTACCGGTACATATACATGTACCAACGGAACAAGGACTTGTCTTTTTTCATGAGCATCTGACTGCCCACGAGTTGTTAAATTATTCACCAACCGAGTCTACATTATTCACATTTTGTCCACCTTCCAGATAATAGGTTTGAGTGCAAGCTGGTGGCATCAGTCTGATTCTGGACACTGCAATTGCAAAGGTCAATGTACAGTACATGTATACTTAGTGCCGGTACCTGTTTCATTTGTATAAATCAGTCACCAATTTGAGGCTTTCTTCTTGAGTTTTGTAGACACACAAAACAGAAGACCTTTAATATCATCAGCTGCAATATATACCTGCAAAACCTGCAGAATGTACATGAAAGTACAGTCAGTATAATACTTATGGTGAAGAAAGGAACTTCTTTTGTGCACATTCACATGAATTTGCATAAATTTTGCATAAACTGCTTTGCTCCCCCTGGATGTACATTGTACATGTAATTAGAATCCTATTGAAATTGGAGGACTGAGGACTGTTCCAAAACAGTGCATATATGTGTGTGCAGTACCAGCCATACATGTACATATACATTGTACATTGATACATGTACCGGTTCCCTGTACATCTATATGTACATGTACACATGAATAATATCAACGGTACTCTTTTGTATATATACATATGCCAGGGCTTCCGTTAGCGTGGGTATTGGCGTATTTTACGCGATGAAAATGGAGAATACGAAAATAACTTCCCATCGCATTCATTTTGACCCTAGATTCTTTAAAATGTTTTTACTGTAGGAAGTCAAATACGTTGTAAGGGAAACTGTTTAGCCGTATCATGCCACTAAATCAAGCCGGTACTTCGTCCTCACGCTCGCTCGATGTCGCTCAGCAAAAAAGCACGGCGACGTGCACGATGTCTCACTACAGCGCGTGTGTACGTGTACATGTGCAATAAGGTGTGCTGCGGCGGTATGGAATGCAGCTGTTCATGTAAATGGCGCCTGCGCGGTGTGCACGTTGGATTCGATTACATCAAATTGGTACCGATCAAAACATTGTTACGCCATGCATGTAGCACAGGCCAGAGCAGCATGCAGCGCTGTCCGATGCATTGATAAAGTGATCGATGGTTCGGAAATAGCCCTCTTGCGGCGCACGCGGCGGAATTAGTGTTGTCAAAACTGTCGGAGCTCTTCAGCAAAACTAGCCATGACATCGACAATGACTCGCCTTCCAATGTCGTAAGGAGCATCCTCGCTGATCTTATTGAGAAGCTGCCCATGCAAGCTCGACCTAACTTGTTTTATGTTTAAGATGACAATGTAAACCAAATCTCATGTACTGAGTTTGATTTCATAATTATTTACTAGAAGACATAAAAATACTCCTTGCTTTAACTCCAGGGAGTGAAATACTTCCAGATTTCTTACGTCAGGAGTTGCAAATACTCCTTTTTACAAAAGAAGTGAGTACAATACTCCTTTGTCAAACAAGTTAATGAAAGCCCCGATATGCTTGAACATGTACATGTATGTGTACATGTGTGTACGATGTATGTACCGGTATATTTAACTAATGGGACTATCTTCCTTGTTTCTCTGTACAATGTGTGATGAACGAACAGTCCTTTTCAGAGAATGCACTAATTAATTTTCGCGAACAGTTTCAAAGAATAAGCACACAGAGGATACCGCAAATTATGCATAAATGCATGATAATCTAGCAGTGAAATTTCACTTGCTTGACTTCACAGCCTACATGTACCCCACACAAGAGCAACGAGCAGTCATGTATGGGGCATTAACATTTGTGTGACCTTTACTGCACAGTAAATATGCAACTACATGTATCCGACTATGGAGACTTCACACATCACAAAGACAGAAATGAATGACATTTTACCACATACATGATCGACAAAATTTTTGATTTTTGATCTAAAAAAACTAATAATACATGTAGGTGTATGGATTAGCAAATGTACCAAAGAAAGACAGTGCAGAATGTTGAAATTAAAGAGGCCTTGGTTAGACCTGAAATTTTCTCCAACTTCAGATTGCTGAGTATGACATCATCATAAATTATTGCAAATTAATAAGAAAAAAACAACACAAAAACTCTACAATTTCCGACTTGAATCTCACAACAAAATTTATCACAATCCGCACTGGTTTGTGACCACTCGAATATCGAATCCAATAAAAAAAATCCTTCCCCGCCGTTCCTTATAAATCTAAGCAATGACTACGGTTCATTTGACCATCCCCCCCTTAACTAACCCCCCTCCCCCCCTTTCCTCACCTCTGTTCGCTGCTGTAGCCTCTTATTCAGCTCATAAATACGGTAGTCCGGTTGGCTGACAAACGGCGTGTGCCTCCTGTAGAAGGGGAGAGAGTTGAACATGGGTAATTCGGGGCCGGCCATGCCGGGAGCGCACTGCATGTTGCAGGGGGTTGGCGGAGGTGGAGCAGTGGTGGCCATGGTCAGGGAGACAGAAGACGGAGGGACAAGACGACAGCAGCGCCTAGTGTCAGTACACCGTGTACATGTGTCACTCAAACTAGACGCACGCACACACACACACACACACTGTAACGCAGAGACTTTTTTCTGCTCTCCCCTTTGCTAATTACACATATTTTATGTCACAGACGGTGACCCAGAGTGGGTAGTGCAATGTGCGTACAGTTATGCTCAGCTCAGCTCTAAATGTACGGTGACTACACTACAGCCTCCATATAGTGCATGTATTTAACAGGTTGTGTGATGTGCTCATGGAACCAAGCCATGCAAGCACAGACCATGACAGCTACAGGGAAAAGGAAATAACAGTACAAGTAAATATGCTCTAGTGGAGCCCTCGGACCCCCAACCACTGACAAAAATCCTGCGTGGGAAATTTCTCTGCAAATAATTTCGTGCACATTTTTATCCTCGAGGATAATATACCGGTACATGTACAGTTTTATGATCAAGATTCATAATTGACACTTTCCAAGAACTGGGATTGGACAACAGGGAACGTGTCCCCCTTTGAATACAATGAACTTGCCCACTCAGCAAACCCCTACCGGTACCTTCAAATGGCCACACAGGCCTCTTTAATATGCCGCTAATAAATCATTTGACAAACTACATGTACATGGTTGTAGGAAATAATGTGGTAATGTGACTCTCCGACGGACAATGTGTTTCTTTTGGTTTTCCTCCTTTGCGTCTTTCATATCGTGTAAACTATGTACGTTCCAAAGTTGGGACA